AACCTGTCATTAGTGAGTCATTCACTCTTGCTGTTTATCTCTCTTCTCTTTTCTCTCAGGTTTTCTTTTTTTCTGCTCCATTACTCCAAGGCTGCTTAATTCCAAATGTTCAGAATGTAAGAAGAAAATCGCAACATCTGTGGCAAGGATGACAAATCCCGAAGCAAAGCCGTACTTCAGTGAAACATAGTTAAGCATTTTTTGAGAGAGAGAAAGAGAGAGAGAATGAACAACAACAAGATACACTAGGTGGACTGTCATTAGATTTTACACACAAAAAAGTGATTTATCAGTTTATCACAGTGATTTATCCCCAGAGAATAATCACTGTGGTAATCTTGTAACTTTAGCGTCTTTACTTCAATCAGGTTGGCAAAGAGCTTTGGGTTAGGAATAAGATTAAGTTACATTTTAGCCACATGCTAAACAAGCATAGCTTAGCATAGGCCAACACTGCAACAGGTAGAACACTGTTGTTTATTTCAAAATAGCCAAAAGCTAATAATATTTCCATCAGTTTCTATTCAATTTTACATTGTGTATAATGCTAATTAGCAATCATCAGCATGCTAGAAAGAATTGGCTTCTCCTCATTGGCACTCTGTTAAATGCAGAATTGAATTTAAAAATACTTCACCTCACATACCATATCTTGAATAATCAGGCCCATCTTATCTTAAAGACCTCATAACACCATACTGCCCAAATAGAGGACTTTGGTCAGACTGCTGGCTGATTTTTTTTTTTTTTTTGCTCCAAGAGTATTTAAAGTAGAATGGGAGGCAGAGCCTTCAGCTTTTTGTCCCCTCTTCTGTGGAACCAGCTCCCAGTTTGGATTCGGGTGATCTTTCCTCTTCTTTTTTTTTTCAATCATTAAATAATTGCAGTTTGTCTTTGTTTTTTTGTTTTTTTGAAGACCCAGATGTGCCTCATGGGCACATCTAATTTTTCTGCCTTTGCAAATAAAGAAAGCAAACTAGATCCATTTTTCCAGCTGTCTTAATGTCCTTCCCAAAAATTAACTCGCACAGAATATTATCATAATCAATAGAAATGATCTACAGAAATAAGACCCCTGTTGCTTAAAAACAGCTGAGACCAAAATCGTGATCTTGAGATGTTCTTTTTTACTTGCTCACAGTCTGATAGCAGTCACACCATGCTGTGTTCAAGTCCAACTGAGTCACTCTTTCATTATCTCCCACTGCTCTTATCTTTTTCTTTCACTGAAATTCTCTTTGCACAGACAGCCGAGGCACCCAACTGTGTGCAAGGGAGATGTACGCAGAGAGAGGATAAAGGACGCGTTAACAAACTGCAGTAGCTAAGCAGGATTGCTGAGACAGCAAGCTATGGTCAAGTCTAGAGTGTATATAAACCAATGCTGCAAGTCGAGAAGTAGAAGCATATCTCCCAATTAATGCCAGGCAATTAGGCCCACTGCTCTTCTAGGCAAAATTAAAAATCATTACAGTCTGCAGGATATGTATGAGTATGGGTGTGTGTGTGGCACACCGTAAGCAGCAGGTGATATAGTACTGCTGGTGTGTGCTTTTTCTCCAAATATGTTATCACATTTGATTTTCATGAAAAGATGCAAAGTAGCTCCATCTGGCCTTTATCTGCTGATAACGATAAAGGGGGGGGGGGGGGGGAGCTAGTATGATTATTTAAATAGAGACATAGGCAGACAGTCCTTTACTGTTGTCCAAGAGGTTGTGACTGGGGAGTTTCCTGACATATCATTGCTGCTCTCTAGTGGTTGCTGCAAAAACTTGAAATGTAAAAATGATCTCAGTCCTTTTGCCTGTATCTTTCTTTTACTACTGAAATGTACTGTTTGTACTAAGAATTCATGTGAAATAAATCATTTTTTAAATGACGTACTGATTTATTTCTTAGCATTGTTAAAACCTTTTTAACAATGAAATTCTTAACATATTTATTTTCTTAACAAAAGAAACAAATAATGAATTTAAAGCATAATGAGCTATTCTTATTTACTTAACTTGTAGTACGTATTGACATAATGAAAATTCAGTATTTCATTTAGAGACTAAAACTGCTGAAAAATTAAAGCAAAATGAATAGAAATACAACAAAAATCAAACGGTTTGTTTATTTTTCTGACAGTTATTTTCATTATCAATTATTTACATTACACTCTTGATTGCTTTTCCAATTAATTGTTTTGTATATTAAATGTCAAAAATAGTGAAAAACATTTTTACACTGCTTCTTTTCACTGTCACCTTTGTTTTTGATTGATTAATTGAATCAGAATTTCAGATCTAGATGACTTTTTGAAACTGGTCTGAAAAACTATATGCTTGAATACAATGGACAATACCACCAGTGTCTTTGGTGGATGAAAATGATCAAATTGATACACAAAGAAAACAACAGTGTGGTTCAATGTACAGTGGGGCATACACAATGAAATGTTTCCCTGCTGTAGACTGACTCCTCCTTCACCTCACATGCTCTGCAGTAAGTCCTGGATTACCCTACTGACCCACGCTGAGTTCTCCGTGACACAGATTCACTTATAGCACAAAACCAGCAGAGGACATTAAAATCACATCAACACAACGTCGGTCATAGGACCTTAAACTCACCCAACCAGGGAGGAACCCAAACATGCGGAAATTGAATGTTTTGCCTTGTTTAGATCACATTATAATATAGCCTCTGTCATGTGGGGAAGCTTCCTAAACAGGACATTTTAAGCCCCAAGACCTACTTAAAGAAACAGGGCTGTGCTTTCTCTGCACGTATGCTGGTAATATTTTTGCCCCATGTGGTTGCAGAGTAGTTTCTTAATGACAGGGGAAGCCTGAGCAGTGCGGGGCCAGCTCCACGGCCTTCTGTATAAACAGCCATAGCTGGCTGCCATCTGGTTGGCTCCTACTTCAGAGCAGAGAACCCACTGAATCCTTACTGATCATCTCCACTGATTCCTACATTGAACTGCTGGAGTATGTAGGAACAGTTACGGATTGTAACATCAAACTTATACCCAAATAATTAAAGGGCTGGTATAACCAAACTAACAAAAATCTAAATTCTTGCTTACTTTAGAGGATTTTTAGGGACACAGAAAGCATTGGTTTAATTTGACATATTCTTCTTTTCAGATTTCTGCCACAAATCCAGTGTATAAAGTGTATTCAGTGTATAGTGTAATAAAGAGAGGGAGTATTACAAGCAGTACATGTAATATTGATTATTAGTAGTATATTTATAACATTAATAGTGCAATCATTGATTAATTATATCATCAGATAGATCTGATTACTAGTTTTTCACTAATCTATTATTTTCAAGGCCTATGGAGTGTCTCACACACACTCAAATGGCCTTCAAAGTCATTGCATTTTAAATGACTTCGCAGTTCCCAGTAACTACACTGCAGCGGTATTTAAAAATCTTCAAAAAAAAAAAAAATCTTTTATGATATTTAAAGTTCAGATTTCTGAGCTGATTTCTTAAGCAAACCAAAACTAGGTAACTTATCTTTTCCACATTTCTGGGTTTTGTACAATCACTATCGATTCTTACTGTTAATGTAAAGCTTAAAATGTCTCACAAACACCTGCACTAACATTTTCAAATGCAAGGAAAAAGAACATTTGTTTGGGACTACATTTAGTGACAGATTGATCTGGAATGATTATATGCTATATTTACAAGCAAAGAATGCTTTACCCTAAAATAATTAGTCACGATAACTGGACGGACAGCAGTTCAACAGTCACTGATATTTTGGAGGGTACGTGCTCAAGCACAAAAAGGGCACATACTGTAAGTAGTATTTTAAAAAGTACATTGTGCACAATAACAAATGTATTAGCTACTTGCTTGCTTTTCACAGTCTGACCTTTGGGTGAAGTTATCAGAACATTCACTCCTGGAAAGATTGGCAACTGTCTTGAATATTTTAAACTGAATAATCGTTCTCACTAGAATGATGGACATCCCAGACTGATGGGAAGGTTTATATTCACCATGTTTTCTCTTGCTGGCTCTCTGCGTTTTCAGATTTATATTTTCTGCCTATTTAAAACCCTTTTCCTGCCATCATTGTGCAGTGTTCTGTGTTCTTTGAGCTACATTAGTAAGTCAGTCACTCTTTTGACCCCCTACAATACATCCTGATTTTCTAGAGATGAATTTAGATTTTTGGTTTTGGCTCAACAAACTCTTCAGCAAAAACATTTCCCATCAGCATCATAATCTCAGCTGATCCATAAACGATACCTCGTCCAAGATCAGTTATCTAGCCTTTAATCTGCTACAATGCCAAGCAGACGTCTTTACTTGTGGGACCCAAAAGTACGGCAGTCTGTGTGGTGAAGCAAAACTTTCCCATACTGCTATAAGCTTAGATATTTGAATAAGTAATGCACCTGTTTTCAGGGGGGGGAAAAAGAAAAAGCTTCTGTGAAAGCACTTAACAACTTCTCAAAAACACACAAAGCCCGTGTGGGCATGACAGAAAACATTCATACGCAAAAGAGCCAGATCTACAAAAGAGAGACACTTTCACAAGAAAAGCTTTCGCTCCTGCAGCAATTTTACGTCCGTGATGTAACTTCATTTGAATCACAAAGAAAGAAAAAGCTTTCTCAAATCTTTGCACTGAATGCAGGAGAGAGAGAAAAGGACAAAAACAAAATCAAAAATGCAAAGAAGTCCTCCTTTTCTGTACGGTGTTGTTATCCAGATAAGCACACAAATATAAGCGACTTTTGACCAGCTACACCCCTCAGTTCCCATGACGGAGTCGACTCATTTTGTGTTTGTGATACAGAGACTGTGTGTTTGAGCCTGTTGTGCCAACAGAAAAGTCGACAGGGGCTGCACTAGGGCAAGCTGTGGGAGGCTCACAGAAAAGAAGAAAAGAAAAAAAGCAGACACCGAGGCCGGGTTGATGAAGAGCCGAAAGAAGGAACTCAAGCAGAAATAAATTCCCCCCCACCCACCCCCCCTTCAGAAAGACCCCCTCTTATTGGTAGTTCATTAGTCTTGATCTTGCCTTTGACCCACAGCAAATGCTGCAGCAAGCACACTGCTATGACACCGCCACTATACAAGCACAGACACAGGAATGCTGCTTCTGTTATTGTCTTTAAGTGCCAAACTCAGGCCAAGGCCTAGCCAGGGTTTCAAAAACAAACTAACAACCGTGCAAGGTTTTCACTCACTCACTCACACACACACACACACACACACACACACACACACACACGCACACACGCACACACACGCACACACACACCACTTCCGTCCATTCTCTCTCACAGAGAAAGGAAGTGGAGTCGAACTGGCCGAGCCCCAGCTGTCCAGACAGAGGTAGCCTGGCAAACCCAGTCTCCTGCCTGCCTACTTCCTCCTCTGAATGGCTGTAAAAGACTCACAGAGCATTTGCTGTCCTTCAGTGCTCACTGTTTTGTAAGATGTAGAGAGCCACTTCAAGTGTAAAGAAGTACTTAAATGTACTTTCTGCGATGCACAAGAGTGATAGTCTCAACCCTAATTTTTACGTGATCACATTTTGTCCCCCGCCTCTGTTTTGTTTTTAGGGCAAACCCAATAGAAGTTTTGCTCTCTGGGACTTAGAAGTTACATTGTGGGCCCCTCTTTGCTTAGTGAACATCTGCCTACATTTTCCATCAGTATTTATCCCCACAGTGGGCTGCCCACTGTGGGTCATGTGGCTCTGGCCATAGTGCCCCCACATGAGACCATAAGAAGCATGTTGCTGGGTGTTAGCACCATTGTTTCCTTCACTAACAATGCTGGGATTGTGATATAGTAAGAAAAAATGTGTGATAGCTGAGAAACCTACTTGTTACATACTTCTTCAATATCCAAAATATGATCTTTGTACAACAGGAAAAAAATAGTACTGATACATTAGCAGTGAACATAAATAGTCCAGCTCTCTATCATCACTGTCATCACAATGTTTCTCCTAATCCTTGCATATTTACAGGGACATCTCTGAGATCCATGTGTGTGCTTTCCTTTTTAAACAGCTGCCAAACAAAGAAAGACTATAAAGGACAAGATAAACAACATGTTATAAAAAGCACAACAAGCAGGCTGCAGCATCTAAATAGTAGACCTCTATTCAGCTGTCACACACTGTTAAAAATTCAAACTCTAGAAAAACACACCATCTGACGAGATTTTGAAAGGAAAGAGAGAAAACAAGGGTCTGCTTCGTTCTGAGCTGCACGCAGATCATTAAAGTCCAAGTTCAAAAATGAACTTGATCAAAGATCACCATCACATGACAACCTGCGCATAAAATGAGGCTGAGCTTTCACAGAGGATAGCATATTGATTCTAAGTGTTTATAGTTAGCAGTTTTTTTGCTTTTCAGTATACACACAAGCCATACATCCTTCTCACATTCATTTAAGAAAGTCTCAGGAACAGCAACTTTACCACAATCTCATTTGAAATGTGTGATTGGCCGAGGGTCCAACCTCTTACCTTGGGCCATTTGGGGTTGATGAGTCGTGCTTTGATTGCATCATCCAACGCAGTGCTGTACTCGCCCAGTCTCAGATATGCTGCAGAGCGGTTACTGTACAAAATGCAGTTTTGGGGATCGGCAGTCAGGGCTTCACTGTAAAGGCGAACAGCCAGTTCAAATTCCCCCTGCTGGCAGGCCTGATTACTGCGACGCACCCGCTCGAGAAATTCAGCTTTGCTAAGGGCTGGGGGTCCAGTGCCAGACAGTCGATCGGCTCTTTTTACCATCTGGGCTGAAAGGATCACAGGTGCAGGAGAAGAGGTCGATGGCGAAGAAGGGTCGGTGGTCCTGCTGGTGGAGCGAGAACCAAAAAGAGAGAACTGAGGAGAGAAGAAGCAAAAGGGAGGAGAAAAAGGGAGAAAGGGGAAGAGCAGGGTTAAATGTTTTGCAACTAGAGAAGAAATCTTTATTTTACTCACTGTTTGACATAAAATTTTTGGCAAATGAAATAATAAACCGTTATCACCATCAACAAATGAATTCATTACTTCATTCAATCATATTTATATAGTGCCAACTTATTATTTGAAGGTAGAGACCCTGCATAGAAAAAAACTGATCATGTGCCAATAACCATGAAACAGCAGGTCTTCCTGTCTTAATGGGCAGAAACTCTTTTAGTAGCATTTGTAGGACCAATAGCAATGATGATTATCATGAAAGCATATTGTCAACCAAATAGATGAGTTATAAAATCGATTCACCTAGCATGCAGTGTTGTGAAAGGAGAAGTATACAAACTGTCAAAACAGTTTTCCATATCAGGATGTAAGCATGTTTTTAATGCATCTTCAGCATTTTAACAAGACAGCCTGTTGGGATTGATTACCTTATGGAGCCAGCCTCAAGTGGCCATTAGAGGAACTGAGATTTGTGACATTTGGTTTTGGGTTCAAATTTCATTTCCAAAGGTAGCTGCTTTGGGTTTCCCCATCTCCCACTGATGAATATCATTGCTCTTTAGACATCACCTCTACAAAACAACTGTGATGCTGTTCATTTTAATAGTCTAAATGCTTCATTTAATTATTGCTCAACTGGTGAACTTGTATTAATTATTTATATTATTATATTGCTGCGGTATTAGAGTGGTTTGCACACATTCCTGGTTTAATCCCTGCAGGAGCCTGACCCTGAACTGCATAGGTGGAATTAAATTGATGGACGTTACCATGGTAAACATAGATGTTAATATTAGGAAGTTTAGAATTTTCATTGCATAGCCCTTTTAGTGGAAAAGGGTGGAGTGCCAACTCGGTGTCAGGGACAAGACCCTGCACCAAGTGGAGGAGTTTAAGTCTCTCGGGGTCTTGTTCAAGAGTGATGGGAGAAGGGGGCGGGAGATCGACAGACGGATTGGTGCAGCGGCTGCAGTGATGCGGACGCTGTATCGGTCTGTTGTGGTGAAGAGAGAGCTGAGTGTAAAAGCAAAGCTCTCAATTTACCGGTCGATCTACGCCCCTACCCTCACCTATGGTCACGAGCTGTGGGTAGTGACCGAAAGAACGAGATGGCAGAAATGGGCTTCCTCCGAAGGGTGACTGGCCTCACCCTTAGAGATGGGGTGAGAAGTTCGGCCATTCGGGAGGATGACTACAGCATGTGACCAAAAGCACCAGAAAAAACTATTTCATATAGTATTTTTGGATGCTAGTATTTGTGTGTTTTATAAAGGCATCGGGTGATTTGTTTAGAATTTGGGTGCACTATTATTGGGTGTAGCAGCTATTTCAAATCTCACTGAACTGAGGTGCATAGGAGCAAAGGGTGACATGTACAAAAGTTGAGCCCAGCTATCACATATTTTTAGCTGTTTCAATAAAAAAGCTGTTCACCGTGTTGTTTCAAAAGAAAATGTTCTTTCAGTGCTATTACAAAAGTTATTTAAAAAAAAAAACTTCCTGCATGCAGATTTCTATCCAACACAACACCAAACTGAAGCTGTTTCATTTGCATGATATGATCCAGTAGTTATTAGCAAATGGGATACCAAACTAGTGCCAGCACTTTTTCTTTCTGCACACTGGTACCAGCTTGAATTCCTCCGAGAGTTACAGAGACAGAAAGGAGGAAAGTCAGAGACTTAGTAAGATACAGGCTCTGTTCTTCTTGTTAGTTTCCGTCTCTGAAACTTTGTGTAAAATGTGCACACTGAAGTTCCCTTTCTGTAGCTTTAACATTGAAATGCTGCCTCCCTCTCTGATCTGGTGTTTCCAAATTTGTCCTTTCACCAGTGCTTACACGAAGGCTTTCATTATCTCTCTCTATTTCCCTTCACACACACACACGCACACACGCACACACACACACACACACGCACACACACACACACACTGAATTGTTTGGATACGCATTTAAAATATGCAGACTGGAAGGATTCCTAAAACTTGCAAATGCATCACCCAACAGTGGATTGAGAGGAGTAAAGGAAATGAAGGTTTTTGGAAGTGTACTGATTATTCACCTCATGTGTGCATATATCACATGAGTGACATAAGAACTAACACTGATTTATTTCTTGAGGAATACTGTCTCATTAATTAATACCTGCTGATAAAGTAAAACATGAAATAAATATATGTATTTATAAGTAAGCTGACTCAGTAAACAAATGGAATTAGATGAATTATAAAAAAATTTTACAGCTCAAATATTCATGATAAACTTTAAAAAATAACACAAAACAATTGAGGAGAGCATTGCATTCACAAATATATTGACTTGAACTTATATTTACGTGTATTCATGTCAATTATCCTTTTTTATTTTAGTATCCTTTGCTTTTAACTCCAAACCACGTTAGCCACTTCAGTCAGCTGTGTTTCTTGTTCCTGCTGCTTATAAAAAATAAGGTAAAAGAGCTTTTGTGTTTAAAGACTATCAGACTGGAACAATTTACCTGTTGAGAAAAAACCATTTTCATTACTTGCATGGCTTCTCTTCCTACTTTGAGAAGCAGTCGTCCTGTTTACTTTTTTATTAAAATATTTTTGATTCTTTGCCATCTACCTGCATGGGTTTTTTTTTCATTTACTTACTTTTACATTAAAAGCATAGTAGTGATTTGTAATGGCTTTAAAATGACTTTTAATGATTTCATTGAACTGTTCTTTTCCAGAGTGAAATGATTGTAAGGCATACATCTTTAATGACTTTAATGACATGAATTTGAACTCAGAGACGATTTAAATTTGTTGGTCTCATGGCACAGACCCACCTTGTTTGTGTAGTCTACGAGTTTTCAATAGGGTTGAGCTTCGGGCTTTGGGAGGGCGATTCTGGAAACTTAATGGTTGCCTACTTTATTCAGTTCAATTCAATTCAGTTTTATTTATATAGCATCAAATCACAACAACATTTGCCTCAAGCTGCTTTATATTGTAAGGTAAAGATCCTACAATAATACAAAGAAAACAGAGAAAACCCTAATAGTCATATGACCCCCTATGAGCAAGCATTTTGGCAACAGTGGGAAGGAAAAACTTCCTTTTAACAGGAAGAAACCTCTGGAGGACTCAGGGTCAACGAGGGGTGGCCATCTGCTGCGATCAGTTGGGGGTGAGCGGATGAAACAGGAGAGCAGTTTTGATGCCTGTTGTGATTATTATCATGTTAGAAAAACTTGTGTCCAAGTTTCAATCATCTAGTAGTAGTAGTAGTATTTATTTATTGTCATTGTCAAGAACAATGCTGATTAACTGCTGATTTAAGGTGAAACTCGGTCCTTTTTTATTATTTCATCCACTTTGTGCAATGTATCAGTACCATTGGCAACAAAACAGCCCCAGAACATGATGAATTTAGATTCACTACCACCATGATGTTTGAAAGCTGGTACAGTGCAAGTACAGTACAAGTTTGAAAGCCTAACCTTTACTCTGTGGCTTGTCCACACGAGCAGCTACAAATTTCAATCAAGTTTGAGAGTGTCAAGTTTTGTTCAGGGGCTTCTCCATCACTATCAATCTGCCACTCCCATCATTCATGACCCTGAGATACTCAAACTCCACTTTGGTCAGCAACTCATCCGTGAACCAGAGTGGGGACTTCACCCTTGTCCTGCTGAGAACAATAGCCTTGGACTTGGACGTGCTAATTGTCATTCTCGCCACTTCATCCTCACAAGAGCATCACCTGATGATGCCAAAGTGGATGCCTTATGCCACTTGGCTCTGCCTAAAAGTTCTGTCTGAAATATTCTGAAGAGAATCGGTCACAAAATAAATTCAAATGTGTGCATCCAATTCTTGTTTTTTAAAGTAATTAAAGAGGTATGCTGTGCAACCATTCCACTATATAAAATGCAGTGTTTAAAGAAATCACTAAAAGCTCCAAGTTCCCATGAGATTCATGCCCATGATTACAAACCTCTGACCACAGCTACATATATATTGGGACCTGTTTGAAAACAAGATGCTGCTGCTGTGTGCCCATGTGCTGTAAAGATTAAAGTCTGATTAAAGTCTCAGTGTAAGCCACAGTTTAGAAGAGCACTGCTATACACAAGTTTCCACATAACAACAATGTGTGAAAATGCTAATTTTCATTGTTTTTCTCTTTTATTACATTATTTTCATTAATGTGCCAGGTTGTTATGAGGTTCTAGTTCTGATATGACGAATGTTACATAAAACACAGGTAAATAAAGAATATCACATACAGTATTGTCTGTACTGAACTAAAACTGTTCCTGAACTTGAATGCAACTAGTAGAGTGCAAGAAGAAAAACTACTCTAAGTGGACTTCTGCATTCATACACATTCCACTGATAGCTGTGTTATACACATTGTTGTGTTACACTGTTCTTAAACAGAGCTCTGGCTTAACTGAAACTTCTCTGTAATGTTGTGCACCTGTGGGTAAAATACTTTGTTTCCAAATGGAGAGGATATGTTTGTGTATGAGTGAAAACTGGAAAATAGAAACCTGGAGTCTAATGTATCAAATGGTTAAGTGCTTATTTGGCTAATCACTCAATACAAAAACAATCCTGCCAGTTCATCTAAAGGATCAGTTATGATCACCTTGTTTTTATGTCTGTTTTTAAATCTATCTGTGATATTTTAGTCACCAGAGCTTACTTACATTTCCCTGAATGCAGATTGTTTTTTCTAGCCCAATTTCTCCTCTATCTTTCTATAGCTATTTACATATAAACTACCGTATAAATGAAAATCTGCTCGAGTTGGCTGGAGGTTTGACCATGTAGGTTCACCTCAGTCTTGCATTACAGACTTGTGTGTCTACATGTTTAAAAGCAGAGGTTTGTTGGTCTGGAGTATTCAGGTGTGTTAACACAATGACACAATTTTTGCAGGAATAGATGTCCCAACAAATTCACACCAATGTGAGACCATGCAAAGAAACTGCAACAAAACAAAACAAAATGTTAAAGTTCTTGACAGTAGAATTATAAAAAGAAAGAACAAGCATGGTTAATGCTGCTGAATGCTGTGTTCTACAATAATAATAATAATAATAATAATATTACTATTATTATTATGGGCCATACTTTTTTTCCACATGACTTGCATTAGCATTTCTGGTTTGTAGAGGAGCAGAGTTGAGTCATCTGTTTGTTTCATGTTCCTGTAGCAGCTTATTAATAATGTTGCTGCTTACACACACACACACACACACACACACACACACACAGCTGTCCCAGTGTGTAGACGGTAGCACCAACTCACTCAGGAGACAGGTTATCAGAAGTGTCACTGCTGATATGTACTTTCTGCATTTGGCTGTAGAGCAAAAACTACAACACACACACACGCATTACAGAAGAAAGTGTCAGGTTGCATTCCAGAAGTTTACAAAGAATTTATTTTTGAGGAACAACACTGCCAAACGACAGGAACACAACATGAATATCCTGTGGCAGTCCTTCCACGATTACACACAAACACACACTTCCCCTTTGTTCTGTCTTACTACTCCCAGCCCCATTTTCAGCCCAGGTCACAGGGAGTACATTCCTGGTAAAAATATAGAGACAGAAAGAGACTGATGGGACGAGTACCTGAAAGAGAGGAAACTGTTTGCCTAAAACTGGCCATTAGATCTTTAATGTGTCATATCGTCGATGGGGCGTCAATGAAACAAGCTGTAGCTGTATGCAGCTGTATGTATAAATGTGTGAACTTAATGCTAACGGCAACAAAGATGGAATAGTTCAGATTATATTTGAAAGGTACTGGAAATCTGACTAATCTGAATATTAGCAGTTAGTTGCAACTGTGATACTATAGTGTACCTGCATGTGTGGTATCAGTTTCTCCGGTGTAATGTAATTTATTTTTTTTTTATTTGTCAGTCAGTTGTAATATCAAAAATATATTTGAGCTTTTGGACTGTTCAGAAAGATTATTTAAAGGATATGAAATGTGTCACTATTTTCTGACACTTTATAGAATAAAACAAATAATCAGTTATTTAAGATTTTCACATAAACATGCTTTTGATAAATACACATTTTATTGTGAATGTTTTTTGACAAATATGTATACAGTATAAGAAAGGAGAAGAAAAAAAAGAAAAATGGTCTTGACCAGTCACACCTGGTGATTATTATCAAATCATCTAATAGTTTAGACTCTTTACATGGTGGGGCAAAGGAGGGGCAAGAGGTCTAGACAGAGTGGCACATGCCTCTTTAGTAGTGAAAAGCTCCTATGTAACTGAAGTCAACAAAATATCCACAAAAACACTTTAAAACTCTTTATGGCATCATTATCGCTTCTATCTCTTTTCTTCTCCTTTAGATAGGCTTAGAGAATTAGTTTTTACAAGTATTTTAAAGACATAAAAATTGGGGGGAGCAAGAATCTACTCACTTTTTAAAGATGGCATTGCTTATTTCAGCAAGACAGTTCCACGCAGCAGAAAACTGTCTGTCGCATTATGAAACCAATGCAAGGACACAGGAGTCCTTAACCTGTATAGCCAAAGAAATCATACTACAAGAATAGGAAAACCTTAGACAAAGTTTCTTGAGTTTAACATTTAATATGTTATTCTTGGAATTTCTTCAGTTAAAGCTACATTTTCTTTTTGCAAATTATTGTTCCTTAAATGTATCTCTTGCATATCATCCCAAGTTTTTGTGTCACTTCTACAGAAGTGACAATTTTTACATTTTAAAGCTGAGAATAATTCCACTTACCAAAACCATTAAAATTTAAAATAACTCATCTACAAAGCTCTCAGATATTTATTTTAGTCTGTATAACAAAGTATGTCCTGCCAATTTCACAGTGTAGCTCTGAAAAAAAAATCCTTGTCACTTTGTAAATGAAACTTCTGAAACTGGTGTCTGTGCCTTGACGCTTTCATTTTTGTTTTTTGTACTGACTTTACTGTAACTTTAATTTGCTTTCTACATTCTGATATATTTCACGCTGTAAAAACAACTTACAGTAAAATTACAGTTGGCAACTTAATGAGCTCCTTTGTTTATGTCTTTTGTATTCCATGGTGTTCCTATAATGTCGTTTCCCTTTTAGTCTTCCTTGTATGCATTTAAGGAATACATGCAGTAAAGATGCAATTCTATTCTATTCTATTCTGTTTTTAGTTGTATTAGTAAATAAAAATCTGTTTCACAACATCCACAGGTATAAATGAGCCTGTCAGAGCTCAGATGGAGCTGTCTATGAACTCCATGTTTCAAAATAAGCCCTGCACGATGGCAGCTCATCGTGAGATGTCTGTGTGTAAGCGACTTTTTTTTTTCTCTTCCCAGCCTCTTACCGATGGCGCTGAGCAGCCGCGGTTTGTGTCCTCTGTGAAACCACAAGATAAAGCGACTGTTTCCACTAGCCTTACCTTCTCTTTCCTCGTTCTTGGCTTTTCCATCTCTGCTAAATCCGGCGACCGGAGCTCTAAACTTTCATCCCGCAGCAGCAGCAGAGAGACAGAGAAAAACAGTCATCCAAAGCCAGGGTACAAGTCCACTGTAGGTTATCCAGCGGTATATGTTACCAATAAACTTGAGAGTGAGAGGCTTGTGTGCTATGCAGCGGTGCTCCAAAGTTTCTCTGAGTGAAAGTTAATCCAGACTGCGTGCGCCATGTTCCCACAGGCGAACTTCTCCCCATAGCGGAATTTTTGTCCGGTGAGAGGCGGGGATCCGGTCGGCTCACCAGCTCACAGCAAGGTTTCAATTACTCTTCATGACATCAGAGAGGAGTTGAGTTACCTGACAGATATTCATTTCAGCAGACTTTTACACTGTGTTGGTGTAGTATGTTAACAGGAAGCCATACTTTGTGTAGGAATGAGGACTTGTTTAAAAATATATTATTTTATAGCATTTGGAGTCTATTGTAGAATATAGCCACCTACTCCGAGTGCTAGTGCCCTATACGGTTAAAAATAACGTTTGTTTAAAAAGACTTTAGACTGGAAGAAACATTATTAACATTATTGTGATTGGTGCAAAATTCTATGGACATGTAGACAAAGGGAACGGAGGTATTTCGTGGGTAAGGTGTTAGAGAAATGCAGATGGATAGATAATAGTACATTCTGCAAAAAGGATGAAAATGTCTGTACTAAACATGCACTTTAAGAAGAGGGAAGAACACAGAGTGACATATAAGAGATGAGGAAGGTGCACACAGAGGGTCCACATCTTATGCAAAATGTGCAATCTGAAAGATATAGGAGACTGCAAGGTGGTGTCAGAGGAGAATGTCGCTAAACAGCATCAGATGGTTGTCTGTAGGATGCCTTTGTACATTAAGAAGAGGAAGAAAGTGAAGGCAGAGGCAAGGATTAAGTGAAAGAAGTTGAAGAAAGAAGAATGTTGCACAGAGTTCAGGAAGAAGTTGAGGCATGCTCTGGGTGGAAGGAAAGAGTTACCCGATGTTACCTGTATATTAAAGATGGCCCACTAACAAAACAAATTAGCCTCTTTGACTGTGGTAATACAAACTTAAATATCAAGAAGGTAGGTAAGGCTCTTTGTTGATACTGATTTTTGAATATTTTATGGAATTATACATAAACTACTAACTTTTAACTACTAATACTGTACACTTCACTGTGGTGTGAAAACTACTTTAGATCAAAGCATTTATTGACCAGACATTAACAAAAAACTGAGCACTGTCTCCTAAAGGAACCACGTGATGATCCCACATTCTGAATCATCCAGAAGAAGCCCATTTGCATATACAGTGGTCCCTCGTTTATCGCGGGAGTTACATTCTAAAAATAATCCGCGATAGGTGAAATCCACAAAGTAGCCAGCTTTATTTTTTACAATTATTACAGATGTTTTAGGGCTGTAAAGCTTTTCTCAGACAGGCATTAACATTTTCAAACTTTTCTCTCTTTTTTAAACACTCTCAAAGTTCCAACCTTCGTAGAAAAAAAAGTCCAGTATTATACAATGAAACCAAAGATCAAACCTTGTATTCAGGTCAGGTCAGGACGCAGAACACAATGTACTGAAAAAAAAAAAGCATGCAAAATTACACAAAAAAAAATCCAGCGAGGTCGCAAAGGTGTCCCGCGTTATCATCATCACCTTTATTTATAAAGCACTTTAAAACAACCACAGCTGACACAAAGTGCTGTACACTGGAACTATATAATAAAATCACATAAGATATAAATGAAAGCCAAATAAAAGAAAAAGTAAAATACTTAATTAAATAACTAATTTAGTTACAAGAGAAACTAAGTCTCACTGAGGTTAAAAGCCAAAGAATAAAAGTGGACAGTGAAGGGGCCTCTCTAACATGCAAGGGCAAATTATTCCATAATTCAGGACCCACAATAGAAAAGGCCCCTCTGAGCTTCCTCCTGGATCTCGGTACCTCCAGGAGCAGCTGGTCAGCTGACCTGAGAGACTGACAGGGTGTGTGGGGATGAAGATGCTCACAGAGGTAAGGCGGGGCAAGATTGTGAAAGTATTTAAAAACAAACATGAGAATTTTAAAATGAACTCTAAAAGACATAGGCAGCCAGTACAGAGAGGCAGAGAGTGCAGGTCTTACTTAGTCATTTGTGGCAAAAAACTGAGGCCGTCATTTTTATAAATGCATTTTGTTTCTTATTTGTATAGTTAAATATTACGCTCATGCTTGTGATGTGGACATATGCAGTTTATGTGAAGAGATGCCTAACTTAAAGAGTAGAAGCAGGATAATAGCCAGTCTGATTCTGTTTTTATGGCAGTAATGATGCCTACTGACAAACACCTCTAAAGCTCAACATGTGACATTTAAGATCTGGAACTCTCAAGATGTTAAATAGGTTTCATTTTATGTTTTACACTGCGCAAATAAATCTTGAAAGTTTGGCTAAACTTAAAATTAGCTAGCAGGTCTATGCAAAACAGGGAGAAACTATTTGTTTGCTCTGACATAACTCTAACATTTACATTTTTCTTATAGATTAAGCAAACTTGTTAGTGAACACTACTCTGGGTATTGCTAGTAACTGCTTTCAGTCTTTAGCCTAAGCTGCATTCATCACTGCAGTCCTTAGCCTCACATTTACCATACAGTGTTGAGAATGATATTGATTGTCTCGTTTAACTGTTAACAAAAGTAATAACAATAATAATAATATATAATAATAATCTCAATTATTTTGAGAACATTAAGCAAAATCTACATTGCAATCCTTCACAGCGTAGCAAAAATATAGCATTCAAGTCATAAAATTAACAGGTACAAAGAAGACAATGATAACAATATATCTTAACATTTAACAATATATCTTAACAAACTACTGTTTTTAAATCTAATTAGTTATTTTTTTTCTTTTTACATCTTACAACATAGAGTACATTTCAACATTTATTTCTTACGTACAGCTAATTAAGTAATTTTTTCTCTTTCATGGCTTTACTTACAACATAATTTGCAGCATTCTGCAACTCATACAGTACAGTGCAAATACTTACAAATAGGCTACACATGTGCTGAAACATGAACATAAAACGCATCTACAGTATAGGGTACAGAACTGCAACCATGATTTTATTCTGTGAATACTGAGGTCAACAGTAACCTTTCTTCCAGGACAGCCAAAGCTCCTCCTTTTTAATGAGATGTGTTTTCATGGCAGATATCTCCATCTGTCATCTCAGGAGAAGCACATGTGTTACTATTCATTTTAACAATGGCTCAGCTGAATTGAGTTACTGCAGTGAGTCATTATAGTTTGCCAGCATGGATTATTAAAGCTGGCTCTTGAACTTGCACACCTCAATAAAATGCTCTTCTTATTAAATGTTAGTTAGTAAAAAACTATGGTGTCCTGCTAAGACCTAACAACATTTCTGTTACACTTTAGGAATAAGTTTATCTTGTCCTCAACAAGGCCATTTTGTTCCTTAGGTACAACCTCCACAACATCCCATATAGTAGACACCATAAATACACAGTACAATATTTCATAGTAATCCAAAGTTTTCAGTATTGGATAATAAATAAAGAATTGTAACAA